TTCTATGTACAGCAGAAACCACCTCCCACCCCACCCCCATATCCATGAGCTCAATATCCACTGATTCACTTATCCATGATCTGGAAATATTAAAAATATTGAAAGAAACATACCCAGAGACCTTTCAGTAGTGTGGGCGGCATATAAGTTAAATAAATAAATAAATTCCTGGAAATACTGTATATAGTTTTAGTGGTGAAGTTACCAGAAATGGCCACTAAAGGGAGGCAGAGACCATGCTACGTGTCGCGTTTGCTATCATCTGCATTTCTCAGCATCCACGGGGTGTTTGTGTGAAAGTGATATGGGAGTCCTGCTGTATGTGTGAGGAAGGAAGGAAGGTTTCTATTTACAGCAGGAACCACCTCCCACCCCACCCCCGTATCTGTGAGATCAATATCCACTGATTCACTTATACATGATCTTGAAATATTAAAAATATTGAATGAAACATACCCTGAGACCTTTGGGTAGTGTGGGCGGCATATAAGTTAAATAAATAAATAAATTCCTGGAAATAATCAAAGTGGGGGAGTATTTCATAATTCGCGAAGTCATTACGAAAAGGAATAATTAAAGTTACGTTTCATTGTGTAAAAAAGGTAAGCAAATTAATGCAAGGATATTCAAATAATGCGTTGTAACAGGGCATTCACACCGGGGATAGGTGAAGACCACGAAACAGCAGTTCGCAATCTATATATTCTGACGTTATTATCCTTTTCATCTCCGTCGTCTTTGTGACTTAAATTCTCAGTCGCTGAAGGAAAGATAAGAGGATGCCTTCCCGGAAGCGATTTGGGTGAGAGGGTGGAGGGCATGGATGTTTTTCATGCAACATATAACTAGCTTATGGAACTCACCGCCACAAGATATAGCTTCAACGACCCACTTGGACAAAAGGCTTATCGATTTTGAGAAGAAGGAGGAGGAAGAGGAGCAGAAAGAGAGGGCAGTTGGTAGCTATTCATTAGGAAGGCTAAGTAGAACTTCCATATTCAGGAGCAGCAGGATGCCTCTGGTTTGCCCATGGGAAAGCCAAACAATATTCATTTATTTAAATATATATAAGGTTTAGTTTTCTCCATAAAATCCTGCAGCTGTTGCTGGCTTGAGTTTGCACATCCAGGTTGCCATCAGGAGACGCCAGAGGCAGCTGGCCTGCGTGCCCCATCTTCTCCAAAAAACCAAAGCTGCATGAATTATGCCCAGTTGTCTTTGGGGGTGGGGTGGGGGTGAGGCAGGCTTTGTCTAATTATAACCATGATTTAGGAGGTGGGAAAATACTTCAGATGCCGAGGAGTCAGTATAAAATGATACGGAGCCAGGGTCGGTCCAGGGCTGAACGGATCATGTAAATTCCCTTGGGCCAACTCTGAGTATTTAGTAGCCCAGGCAACTGGACAGCTGGAAATGTTTTCCAAACTTGATCGTGGCCGATGTGTTCCTTCTCCCCCCAGGTGCTGGGGTGCAGAGCTTGGAAAACAATGCCGTTTGGGCGACGAGTCCCAGAATCCCACCCCCCAAGCCAACTTCTCCAAAATGTCCTCTCCTTCACTGGGGGGGGAGCACTTTTAGCAATGCATCCTTTTCTGTTGCTCCCCCACCCCAACATACACACAAAAAACAAAAGACAATTACCAAATGGTAGCAAAACACCCTGTGCGGTGCTGCAGAACACTGGGGTAATAGAACATGTTGGTAGAATTGCTGCTTTTCTGGTAATGGTAAGATTTCTGGACACCCCAAAGTCTTCTGGGCCTGCTCTCTTCTCTAAGAGGATGGTGTCTTTCCAGGTAGGAAGTAATGTACTAGCCCAGTTCACTTCTCAGGCCTGTGGAACTCTCTGCCTCAATGTATCACCCTTTGTAGCTCCACACGACAGAGTTTATTTCATTCCAACCCCAAATCTCACAAATTCAGAGTTTTGGCACTAGGATAAGATGCAAACTGTATTTTCTTTCAGAATAATGCAAGCTATTTCATTGTAGTGCCGGTTTAAGCTGATAATCAAGTCAGTTTGATTCCTGTCTTCAGTTCATTAAGGCATCTAGTGGACTACAAGGTCACCAGTGGATTTTATGAATGAGGATGTAAGGACAGGGGACAAAGTGGCAGGATTTAATCAAAATTATGAGATACAAGGATTGTTATTATCTTAAAAAACTAATTAACAAGAGGCTCATAATAATGCATAAAAACAATACAGGGTAAAAAAAAGAATAGATGAGCCAACTCTCACCTGAAGCCACAGTGAAAAATAAAGCTTATGATATTAATTGGAAACAAGGATAATGTTTAACGGAAAACAAGTGTATCAGCAGTTTAACGTTAAATATATTAATGAGAGAACTGGCAAGAACTGGCAAACAGGCACAATTTAATTGGCAGTTAATGAGCCAACAACGAAATACTGGCTAAATCATGGCAGTTTTTAACAGATTAAGGCGCCAGATTAACTGACAAACAGAATCCAGAAATAATTGAGGATTTAGCTAATTCATGGGGTTCTGAGAGCAAGGGGACTGTAAAAAAATATTTCAGAGAGGTAAGGAACTATGCAGGATCATCAAGACAATAAACTGGAGGATAATAACTTTATGTATAAATTGATTAAATATTGGCTGCTTCAAAAGGGGGAGGAAGTGAGCCTCGGAAACGAGGTTCCCAAGCCTCACAGAAGGTTTAGTTAATCTGGATTAATTGAGGTGGGTTTTAAGTGAGGAGAAGAGAATGATGAGAGGGGTACGCAAGGGGGAAGACCTCCACCCACCCCGCTCTAGAAAGAGGGAAGCCCTGCACTTGACAAAAACTGGATTAAATTAACTGGGCTCTAAATTGTCCACTTCAATGGGGTCAGGACTCGAATCCAGCACCGCCACAGGCTACCATTCAGGGAAGCCACGACGTGCTAGCGCCTTGTATAAGTGGCTGCAGCTGCAAAGCCCGCGCGTGCAGCTCCTGCCCTTTCAACCTCCCAGGATCAAAGAACCTTTAAACAACTTCTTCGCCCCAGAAAAGAGTCAGTCGCGGCCAATCACCGCTGCCTCCTGGCGTTCTGACCAATGAAAACGTTTCCCTCTTTCAGAGGCGCCAGCCAATCCGTACACGGGAGGCCAGGTGGAAACTTTCTCTCCTGGCTTGGAGACAACCAGCGGTACCTCTTCGGACTCTCGACCAATCAAATTGCCGTATTCCCCGCCTCAGCCGCCTGGGAGAAACAAGCGGACAAGCACGTGGTCGGATTGAGCCTAGCGGGAGGGGGTTCTCAACCCCGCCCACCGCCTCCATCGACTGCCCATCAAATTGAGCCAGGCCAATGAGCAGCGTCTCTCGGCGATCAGGGGCCTCCAACTCGCTTCGTGGCCATCATTCATGGCGATTTTGGCCCGCCCACTCGCTGCCAAGTCTGACCAATGAGAAGAAGGAGTTCCTGGTCCAGGAAAAAAAGGGGGAGGTTCCTATTCTCCTTAGAAAGGGATAGTAGGAGTGATGACGTATTAGTTGGTGGAGTGTTTTTTTTCTGACTACAACTCCCATGATCCTCACAAGTTTGGCCAAAAATCAGTCTCCAGGCTGTAATGAACAATTAATGATCAGCCTTTCCTACCTCGCAGGGCTGTAGGGGGTGAGGTGAGAAAGGAGGCTGTTGTAAATATTTTCTTGAGAAAATGCAAGAAAAGTCACAAAAAAAATAAGAACCGTAGAGTTCAAGGAATTTAATTTTCACAGGGTGGCCTTCGTTCATATGGCATTTTATGAACAGCCTGGATCCCCAACCTACATTTATCGAATTTAAATATAACCAAAGAGAAGGTGGACTCCTCAGAAGCTTTAAAAATAAATATTAAACTGCATTGTTTTAGTTCCAAACAAGAACATTATATGTAATAAATGGTGTTATTACCATGAAGTTGCTGTCGAGTTAATGGTGACCCAAATGAGTGGTGATCTCTAGAAGCTCCCATCATTAAAATGAAAAAAATGTATACAGTTAAAATTTATACAGCATATCGCAGCAAGCCAAAAGAGATGAGGGGAAGGCATGGACAGCTTTTGATTTGATCTCTTGCCTTTAAAATTGAGGATAAGGTCACCTCTGCCATTTGATTCTAAAGAGGAAGGAACCTGGGGTGGAAATAACCATTTTTTCCCTCCCTGCTTGGGTATCTATGGAGATACATCCAAAACCACCCAAATGGTGCTGATCCAGTGGTGGCTAGTGAGTCGTCATCAGGGGTGCTGTGAGTCCACACTGGGATTTAGTCTTGCCATTTGCAAGAAATGCAAAATTAAAAAAAATGTTCACTCCACAAATCGCTTCAGCACCATGGACACCTCTTGTACAGTTCTGGGTAAAACCTGGAGTGGATTCATAGCACCTCTGAAACTGGAGTGGTCAGTGGCCACTGCCTCAAACAGGAGAAAAAAGGAAATCTCAAAAGAGGTGGCTGGGCCTGGCCACCTTAAATGTAAAATGTTGTTTGTGAAGAATGATGGAATTTTTGTTTAAATGATGAAATGCAACAGCAGTTAACAACAAAGTGAATTGCACGGCCCTCCAATTCTAAAGCCCTAGGATTTCAAGCAATTAACAACGACCAGGAACAGGCCCAGCACCAAGAGTTCACGAAAGGTGAACACGGAGAGATGAATCAGCCCATGAATCAGCAAGTGACAAACCAAAGAAAGCAAGGAAATGTCTTAACTTGAAACCACAAGAAATGAGGGTGATTCATCGCCTGTTTACATTGGGGCTTAGAAGATTCGAACTCTCGACCACAAGAGGTTTACTTGAAACTGGGACATCTCACGTTGATCTGGGTTAGAGCTTTCTCTGTAGATTTTTGCATTCTGAACTGCATTCTGAGTTTGCATTCTGAACTGTGATGCTACTTGCTGAATTTTGCAAAAACAAACAAACAAACAAACCCCAAACCCAAATCCACCCTTTTCATCTCGGTCTGTTTGGGACCCAGGTTGTTCAGAAAACAAAAGATGAGTTTAGCGTTTGCTCTATTACTTTGCAGCACACTGTTGCTTTCCAGGATAAATCATTGCAAACAGCTAAAGGAAAATTGTCAATTTGGTATTTCTAGGCCACCAAATCTTACTGATGTTCACTAATGCTCTGCATAGCGAGCCTCAGCTAATTGTAGTTAATTAACAAGGTAATCAGACACGCAACCAGGCTTGCCACGGACACACACACACACAAGGTCTCCATCAATTATCTGCAACATCTTATGCAAACTTTATGTGAACACCAGTAAGAATTTGGACTAAAGAATTACAGTACTGTATTATGTTTCTTATCTGTTTTAAGCTTGAGCACTATTTTAAAAAATGGGAGGGGGGAGAGGCATGCTTGAAATGTCATAAATCAATCAATCATAAATCTTTTTAAAAATGGAATAAAAAGAAACAACCTTCGTCAGAATTAATTACTACCTTTCTTGGGAGTATCTGCAAAGCAGTGAATCTTTATAGACCTGCAGGACTGATGGTGGGACAGAAGAGAAAAACCGGAATAAATCTGCTAAGAATAAAAAACAGCAATGGCAGCATTGGAAAAAGAAAACACACAGGAAAACAGCATGTCATTGAAAAATCCCACACTCCCAACAGCTGGGGTACTAAAGTGTTATGCCAAAAGCATAGACTTGTAGCCATCTGGGTGCTACTAGCTTATAGCTTTAATAAATCTCAGCTAGTAATTGTGCCATAAGACACCCAGCCCCAGAAGTCCCTCTGAGTCATATTTCTATACTTAGGTGTTTTTAGCTTTAAATATTTCCTTTTAATGATGTCATTCACCTTTGTATACTCATTGTTTTGTTCTTAAACATAGTTTTTCAATGATGTATAAGCCGCCTTGTTTCCTTTTCTAAGGAGAAAGTCAGGGTTAAAAAATATTTTTAAATTGATCAGTTATGATGTAGGCACAGCCAGGTAACCCACTTTGACTTTTAGCTTTCGTTTTCAAGAGCTCTCTGGGGTTCCCAAACTATTGGGGGTGGTGGAAAATAGATCATTCCTAAAAAGTTCGGATTAAAATACACAGCGGATTCACTGCACGCATAGGCACACCCCAAAGGGGGGTCCCCGGCTATTGCTGGAAAAAGCATCAAAAGGCACTTTTCTTTTGAGAGAGACAGTAAATATATACTGTATAAAAGCTCCAGTCAGAGACAGGCAGAAAGAAGGTTCAGGACAAAAACAAGCAAAATATTTGTGCATGCAATGTGATTTTCATGGATTTCTCGGCCGCTCCTTCTGGCACCAACGGCTCTAGACAGGTTATACCACCATGGATGATGGCGATATTAATCACGTCCACGATTACTCGCCGTGTTTGAAGGCAAGTGTGCGATGGAACTGTACGGACAAACCATCACCGAAGGCTATATACTTTTTCCTCCCAAGTTTCCTGAAAGCATTCAGGCATCGTGGCAAACAGGTTGCTGGACTCAAGAACGAGACGTCTTATTATCCGACCCTGCAGGCATGTTGATGTACATCTCCTCCAACCAGACCAAACCATGAGTAGACGCAGCCCAAGACATCAGGAAAAAAAAAAGATTCCCCACCCTCGCCTTTGCAGTGTTATAGAAAAGCTAGTACAGTATAGAAAATACTGTGCATTTTAATTACAGTATTAGAAAGTGTTGATTGTAAGGCATTTACTTAGAGAAATAAAGTATATACTGTATAAGGTTAGATATATATGTCTTCTGAAATGCTGATAACATTTGAACATCGATATGAAACATATGTTTGCATAGATGGATATTAGAGTGAATACAATATTGGAGATTACTCTGCAGTGTTATAGAAAAGCTAATTACAGTATTAGAAAGTGTTGATTGTAAGGCATTTACTTAGAGAAATAAAGTATATACTGTATAAGGTTAGATATATATGTCTTCTGAAATGCTGATAACATTTGAAACATCGATATGAAATATATGTTTAGGATATTAGAATGAATACAATATTGGAGATTATTAATTATAAGGCACTCACATAGAGATATTAAGCATATATGAATTATAATATGATTACGCAGTTAAGGTTAGATAAATAAACTTTTTTTTTTGGAATGTTGATTTCTCATGATTGTAAAGTATTGATATCCTGAGATATAACTGGTTATCTAAGGATGCAAGAGAAAGAATCTGTAAAAAATCAATCACTAGAATTATTATAACTTTAGGATGGTTTATATTGAACTAAATTTTTAAGAGCAATAAGGTTGATGCAGTCAGATTTATATAATGGATAATATTGTATGGAAATGCCTTCCCCCCGCCTATATGTTTTTGCCTGTTTTGTGTGTGTCTTTGTTGGTTTTTTATGTCTATATGTGTTATAAAATAAAAATTAAAAAAGAGCACCTGCCCAGTCCTTGTACATCCAGGTTCAAGTCCCCATTGAGCCATAAAACTCACAAGATGACTTTGGGCCAGTTATATTCTTTCTCACCCTCACCCTGTCCCACCTTACAGGGTTGATGTGTGGGCAAAGTAGGGAGAAATGCAATGTATGCTCCCAGGAGTATATTAAGGGCAGGACATGAATGTGGCTAACCGATTATGAAATCTAGTGTTGAGCACACAATCCCGTATCTCTGAACTTTCCCATTTTAAAAAAGAAAACCTTATAAGTGAACTGATTTTTAATCTTTTGGACTGCAAAGACCACAGGAAAGTGACCCGGGGCAGAGATGAATGTGATCAACAAGTCTCTTTCTAGCTCTGCTTATTGCTAGCAGAAGTAAATAAACTATTCCTCACGGTGTTTGCTTTGCAAAATCCAACAAAGAGGCAAAGTACAACTTTCCTTGAGTCTGCTGTGTCCAAAATGGGAGACAGACCACTGCTCAATTGCAGACCCAACTCCGGTGACCTAACTGACGGGGCCTTAAAAGAACGCTCCTTTGTGTTCCCACCACAGATCTTCAGGACAGCTTTTTCAAAAGCACAGCCAAATATTTCCCAGAATCAAAGCGATGCCATCTCGCTTCCCGAGAAGAGAAGTTAGTGTAGCCCCAGTATGAAACTCTCCCGTTTTACAGTATTATGCAGGCTGGTGGCTCAAAATTCACGCACTGGACGCAAATTCTAGCATCTGTTTCAAAAACACATTTTATTTAAACACACACGGTAACTGGGTTCATACAAAGTCGTTTCTCGCTACGAATAAAGTGCAAGTGAGATAATTTACTAGCCTTCTGCGCTGTTGCCAATTTTTTGTTTGTTTGCGTGTTTTCTTGGTCTTCATTTGCCTTCCTCTGTCCTTCTTTGTCCGTCACCCCCTTGATCCAAGGAGATGCTGTATTCTGAGCTCTCGACGCCGAATCCAACCATCTGCAGGAAATCATCACAGCAACCAACCAGTCCCTCAATAATGCTACATGGCTGTGGCTAGTGTTATACACATTTCTAGAAAGAGTATGCAAGGCAGAGCAGATCCATCGTGGGTGGTGGGCAATACAAGAAGTCCCACCCGGCTCGGAAAGAAAGACAGGAAGGAGACCATTCTGCAGACACTAGTAAACGAGAAATATGGACAGACTTCGAGGCCCCCGGAGGTAGACCCAGGAGCCGTTCTGTGACCAAGTCCAACCAAGTCTCGGACGGGAACCAAAAGCTTCTGTTCCTTTAGGGCAGGATATTCGCCGACAATACAGCCACCTGGACAGGATCGAGGCAGGATGATGCTTCTACTACTGGAAGAGCAGCAGCAGCAGAGAGCAGGCGGAGAGCACAAACGGGTTCTATCTGTTGGGTGGGAGGGGGAAAAGGAAAAAAATTGTAACTCCTTGTGCCAGACTTGATCAGATTCCATTCACTTGCCAACATTCAACTTTGCTGCCGAGTTTGAAAAACATCTCTGCTCCGCGCTCGGAAAAACTACTTTTGGGCACCGGATCTGGTCCGGAAACATGCTGGCGAGGAGATGCTGCAGATTCCCAACCCCAAAAAGCATTCCCCCCCCCATGTTTTACCTGTCTCATTCTGCACTGCAGGCTCATTCTGAATCTGGATTACTCAAAGTACCATTCTTTTCGGATCCCTGCCTACTTATAAGGAGCCTGGTGGTGCAGTGGTTAAACTGCAGTACTGCGGCCAGCAACTCTGCTCACAACCCGGGTTCAATCCCAGGTTGCCGGCTCAAGATTCACTCACCCTTCCATCCTCCCGAGGTCGGTCAATATTTACGAGTACCCAGCTTGCTGGGCGTGGGGGTGGGCAATGTGCAGTCTGCATAATTAAAACTAAACCACTCAGAGAGACCTTTAAGCACTATTGGGCAATATACAGTGGTGCTTCGCTTAGCGACATTAATCCGTGCAGGAAAAAACGTTGCTAAGCTAAACGGAATTAAAAAGCCCATAGAAACGCATTAAAATGCCATTAATGCATTTCTATGGGCTTCAAAACTAACTTTAAAGCGGAGATCCTCCATGGGGGCGGCCATTTTCGGTGCCTCTAAAGCGAGGACACACAGCGGACGGCCGTTTTGTTTTCCCGGTGGCCATTTTGAAACCGCCGATCAGCTGGCCGAAAATGGTGGCTTTGCGATGATTGCTTCCCCGCAATCATTGCAAAGCGAATTTTCCCCATAGGGACCATCGCAAAGTGATCGCTTTTGCGATCGCTTAAACTCTGTCAGTAAGTGATTTCATCGCTCAACGGAGCGATCGCTAAGCGAGGCACCACTGTATAAGCAGCACACTTTGCAATAATGCCTTTAATCCACAATTCCTAAACACCGCACACTGTTTACTACCCCAGAACCTACATGTCTCCTTAATGCTATTCTGCCTACCCATAAATGCTTTTCACACCCGGGCTCTTTTGCTGAAGGGCACCAAACTCATGAAAAGACACAACAAGGAGATATAACCTCGATTAACAACGTACAGCGGAGAGACCCAAACTTTTTTTCTATCAGGTTTCTCCACCTACAATCCTACACATACTCCCTCGGAGACCAGTCATGTTGCTATAATTCTCTTCTGTCCAAAATTCCCAACCATGACAGGCAGGGAACCCTTCTGGTTGTGTCCCATAACAATGCCCATCCTCCCCCGCTGGCATGGACTGCTGGCTGGGGATGATGGTATTGGCAGTCCAAAAGAACCAGAGAAGAAAGACAGTATCTTCAGAGGACCTTTCCCACCCACTGGTCATCCCTTTATCCTGAACTCTGCAAGCTCACAAGGCTTTTATTTCTTAATGTCTTCTCCTATTTCTTCTCCCCCGATTCTTCCCATAACCCACATGTCTGTTCCTGGCAAAGCTGAAAATGGAGAGCAGGCACCCTCGTGTCTAACTGAAAAGTCTCTTACTGTACGGACCATGCTTCTCTCGTACTATGGTGGGCTTCCAGCTGACCCCAAATCCCTCCTTCTGAAGCAGTGATGGGTTGGGGCCTCACCACCACATAGCCCATCTCACCTGGATGATGATGGGTTTGCTGTCCATACTCTCGTCCTCCCCTAGTTCTTCTCCAACACAGAGAGTAATCCGGTGTTCGGGCAGAGGGGCGAGTCCCAACTGGAACTGCTCCAGCGCTGTGGGCGTAAAACATAGCAAGGGTCAGCGGCGAGAAGAAGGGTCAAGAACCATTGCAGAACATGGAAAAACAACTTCAAGGACCACCATTCCCATGATCCCCCAGCCAGGGAGGCCACGGGATGTGCTGGCTGGTTGGATCCTCATTTTAGCACGGAGAATCCGTGATTTTGCCAAGCGCTGATGTGACTGGTTCACTCAAATGCCTGTTCAGACCAGAGAAGGTGTACGGATATTTTAGGGAAATCAAACCAACCAGGAAAACAAGTCCTTCAAGGAAAACATAAAACCCATCAAACAGAGGCACCAACTCTTAAACTGCCCATCTTCATTTCTTAGGTCTCATGCGGAGCTTGGAGAAATTTCCTCTCTTTTGGACTTTGGAATTCTGGGAATTGTAGTCCAAAAAAATTAATATTTGTAAGCTGCAGTCCAGAATGTTTTGAAAACTGCTCTCTATACCTTCTTCTTCACTGATGCTAATATTTGCCGACTTTTGAAAGTACCCACTGGATAGCCGTTAAGTATGCATCTACAGAGTGGTATAGATGTATCAGATGGGATCCGTTAAGTATGCATCTACAATGGACGCTTAAATAGCTAACAAAATACCTCTTTGTTAAAGACAAAGATGTACAGAGTTTAGCATGACCCTATCAGGGAAGGAAGCACCGTGTATACCACCTGGCACTCACTGAAAGAAACACGGATTATATGTAGGAAATACAGCAGAACCCCCTTATCAGCGTGATCAATATCAGCTGGTTCAATTAGCCATGGCCTGAAAATATTGAAAGAAAAACCCTTGAAATGTATATTTCTAAAGATAAAGTTGCCAGAACCAGCTACTGGAGGGAGACAAAGACCATACTATGTACGGCATTTGCTATTATCCACATGTTTCAGCATCCGCAGGGAGGCTTCAAACTAATCTGCCACAGATACAGGGGTCTTACTGTACACCTTTTCCTCTTCATTTCATGAGGAAATGAGTTTTCCCCCCAGCCACTAAACCCTGTGGTTTCTTGGTGTGAGAGAAGCTTCACCTGCTTTAAACAATCGGGTGCTGAAGAGCTGAAGGAATGTGTTATTCTCCAGCCTCCCTTGGGCGTGAACTCCGCTCGGTCCTCGGCAGAAGAGGCTCGCTTTGCCCCGACACTGGGCGAATATTCCCTCCTCATTGCTGGCCACCATGACGCCCTTCTCCAGATCCTTCAGGGAAAGCAGAACGGCTTCTTGCTTCTGACCGCCCTCCATTTTGATCGGCGACGGCAACACCACGCGGCTCATGCTGCTGATCAGGGCGGCCGACAGGGCTGGGGCGGAGGAGATGAGAAACTCCCCCGCGGGGATCCAACTCTGCTGGACCAGCTCGCCACTATAGAAAACGGACAGCTGCACCGAGTAATCCCCTAAGGAGAAAGAGGAAAGGGGCTGAGTCCTAAAGCAATGGGTTACAAAATGAATGGGACGTGGGTGGGGCTGCGGGTTAAACCGCAGAAGCCTCTGTGCTGCAGGGTCAAAAGACCAAGCAGTCGTAAGAGCGAATCCACGTGACGGAGGGAGCTCCATCGCTTGTCCCAGCTCCTGCCAACCTAGGAGTTCGAAAGCATGCAAACGCGAGCAGATAAATAGGTACAATCTCGGTGGGAAGGTAAACAGCGTTCCGTGTCTAAATCACACTGGCCATGTGACCACGGAAAGATTGTCTTCGGACAAACGCTGGCTCTACAGCTTGGAGACGGGGATGAGCACCGCGCCCTAGAGTCGGACACGATTCGACTAATTGTCAAGGGGAACTTTTACAAAACGAATCTATGGGCCACAATCCTCCTATTTGGAACTGGTTAGGCTTCCTCTCGAGTCCTGTTCTGGATACTGCATTTCGATAAGGATGTCGACAATCTAGAGCAAGTCCAGAGAGAGGGCAACAAGGAGGATCTGGCGACTGGAAACCAAGCCCTAGGAGGAAAGACGGAAAGAACTGGGCTTGTTTACCCTTGAGAATAGAAGACTGGGGGGGGGGAGACATGATACCATTCTTCAATTACCTGAAAGGTAGTCCTACAGAGGAGGGACTGTTCTCAAACATCCCAGAATGCAGGACGCATAATAATAGGCTCAAGCAACAGGAAGTCAGATTTCGGCTGAATGTTAAGAAAGACTTCCTGTTACAGGCAGTATGTCAAACTGACAGGAGGTAGAATGGGAATCGAACGCTCATCCTCTGGCTTTGCAGCAAGATACTTTAACCACTGAGCTATCCAGCCAGCTTTTCTGGACTGCGACGGCTGAAACCTTTCCCCAAACTCTGGATCTTAAGGGGTTAGAGCTGGGATCAGAAATCACGGGAGGGAAGGGACAATTCTTTATAAGAGAATGATCTCTGATAAAGTTCTGTGATCTTACCTGCTTCCACTCCAGAGTCCAATGTGGAAACGGGATTAAAGCAGACCGAATTCTCGTTCACCTCTGGTGCTGGCGTGAGAAAAGAGGGGGGAAGAAGAATGAATTTTAAGAGGGGAGCCCCCTCCCGTGACCCACCGTTCGGCGTAAGCTACCCCTTATTCTCTCTGAAATATTCCCTCCTCAATCTTGCAGGAGAGGATTCCCTCAATAAGAAAATAGATGGTGGGTCAAGAGGTAAATACTTGATATTTTTTTCTTCACCGACGAGAAAGAAAAATGACATTTTGGAAATGTCTGCGCTTTTTAAAACAAAGACACACACACACACCCCCAGAACACCTTTTTTGTGCAGAAACTCCCTGGGCGCTGCTCCAAAATGCTCTCGTTTTGCAAAAGGCAAGGTTTTTAAAAGCAATAACACCCTGCCCTCTTAGTTCCTGAAATAGTTTTACCCCTCCTTTATCCTTAAAAAAGGACCCAAGGTGCCATACGTTGTCCTTGAAAGACAGTATTTAAAGCTGAAGACAATGAGAATCTGTTGTAAACTACCCAGAGCGGTATATAAATTAAATAAATAACAACGGTGGTTTATATAATTAAAACACGGTAATTAAAGCTAAGAACGAGTAAGAACAATGAGTTAAGAGCACTGCATACTCTGTGGCAGGATGCTTTCAAAAGTCTTATTTGAGCTGGCCAGATCCTGCGCTGGTGTTTAGAACCAACGTGGATTTTGCCGCAACATTAATAATAATAATGAGAATTCTCCTAGGGGAAGCCTGATCTTTATGGATCCAAACAGTTGATAATCTTAAAACTAGATATCCGTAGCTAATGTGTGATGTGGATCTGGATTCCACTTAATGAAACCAGATCAGATTTTCCCCCCTTTTCAAAGTGTTTAGCCAGCTTCCTCTTTGGCAAGACAAGGAGATTCATTTTGCAATTCTTCCCCAAGCAACCCCAGCCAAATACTTTTTACGCCCCAGGCACCTTGAATGTATGAACAGAGTGATAACGTCCGAGACAAGGCAAATTCCCCCACCTGGTTCACCGGCCTGGGGACTGGTCTCCCCGTTCTGGTAGGCAGAAGGGTCGGACCCGTTCGTAGTGTTGCTCGTCATGGCGGCCGGCTCCAAGCATACTTCCTACGCAACAAGGAACTGGTGTCAGGATGCGTCCACATGAGGACTCTCTGCTCAAATTCCACTCCATGGATGGCCATCTTTCTCCTACCCCCTCGCCCACCCCTCTTTCGCCATGCGCTCGCCCTGGGATGACACCCAAGCGGATTGAAAGGCAGCCTTCTCCAATCTGGTGTCTTCCAGAGATCTTGGACTACAACTCCCAGCTGGTCACGGGGATTCTGGGAGTTGTAGTCCATAACACCTGGAAGGCATCAGGTTGGGAGAGGGAAGGGTGTAGCAAGTCATGGATACCACTCACTGGTATAGCTTCCCTCTCGCCAGTTCCCTCTCCTTTTCCACTCGGTGTGCGTGGAAAAGTGTGCATGCATGCGCGCTGGCCTCCCTGCACACGTCAGGTTGCAGGGAAACTTCCCTTTCAGTTTCTTTTATCTCTCGGACTGCACTAGCGCTATCCCAGATTGCAAGAAATACATTTTTTAAAAAGTAAAATGTTAAAAAGAACACAACAGCACCACAGCGGAGAGCAGCTGTAAGAGACTGCCGGTGCGCAGGCCGGCGGGCGGGCGCAGGATGAAGCCTGAAATGCAACAATTCTAAAACCCCAGGTCCCCCCCCCCTGCTAATCTATAACACAACTTAAAAACAGATTAAAGGTTTTCCCAGGAAGATGAACATGTGGTTTTCAACGGGCTTCAGAAACCCCGATCCGTCTCCTGATTCGTTTTTCCTGGCATCACTGTGCCCGGAGAAACCGAGGAAAGAAAGCACGATCCGGTCCACGCGCGCACAGACCCCGCGGACAAACTGTCCGAGGGTCCGATCCACCGCAATGTTAGTACTCACCACTTCCAGGAGGGGAAGAGAGGCAGCCGGCTGAAGCAGGCTGTGGTCAGAACAAGCGTTTTTATTTGACTGTTCCAACTTCACCTTCTTCGACTTCAGGAGTTTCGGCCGGGGTCCTTGGGAAAAACCCAGATAAAGGGCCGGGGAGAGATAAATTAGGGCTCAGTCGGCACTCCGGATACATCTCTGTGCAACCCCTTAGTCCAAAAATCCCCTTCCCAAGAACGGCCAGCTCCTCCTGTTAAAAATAAACGAAGCCAGCCAGCTTCTGTCGCTTTTCATCTATCCACCGGCGAGGAGAAAGCAGGGAAGAGTAAAGGCTTGGGGGAAGCCGGAAAAACGCCACTGTGACACCATTGAAATGGTTCCATCTGCCATGCCATCTGGGAACGATGGGGGCTGTAGTCCAACCATTTTGAACGGCACAGATAAGGTTGCCCTGAAGCAGAGGGGGGAGGCTTTGGATGCGACAGAACCAACTTTTCTGCCCCCAGGAACGCCTCTGGGCCATGGGGTCTTCAAAAAACACACCCAAAAAACAAAAAATGGAAGCCATTCCCGGTGTTCAAAAATCGATGACTTTTGGGGACCTCAAAGGTGCACCCCAGAGGCCTGCAACCGATTCCTCATCATTTTCGGCTGGGGATTTTTTTTAATGTCTTGCCGGCGAACTTTGGGGCCGCAAAAGAGCCTTAGGTAAGGCACGTGGGCTTCAGGCCTACCGTTTTCCTCCCTTTCTATGCAAGCATCAGACCCATGATCTTGACAGGAGCGCCTGAATCATGTTGGGAGATTTTGAGGGAGAGAGAAAAAGAAAAAGAAACCAAAAACACACAGAAATATTTAATTACTTTCCTTACCAAGAACCTGCTCGGACAGTGGGACCAGGCGGTACACTTTATAGGGCTCTGTGATATCCAGCCGGGAACGCTCCGGGACCTCCTCGAACTCGGGGCTCTTGCTGAAGGCACAGCGGATGCGTGTCTTCCAGGCAGCTGGGTTAATCTGATCTCCAGGGCGGTATTTCCCTTTAAACACGGCCCATTCCTGTGCAAAGAATGCATGGAGAGAGATGGCGACTGAACCTTGTTGGAACTGACATCAATCCACCTTGCAATGGAACTCTTTCGCATTATGATGGCCTCTCTCGAGCCTAGCCTTCTTCCTGATATGCTAGTTTTCTCTGTGCAGGGAACTTCCCTTCATTCTGTTATCCTGAGCGACTCTTCTACTGCTCCTCCCGCCAGAGTGCGAGAAACATTACTTTCTGGACTACAAATCCCAAAATCCCCCACCAGCCATTCTGGATTTTGGAAGTTGTAGTCCAAAAAAGAAAAGTGACTTTGTCTGCGGAGGCGAGAGGGATGGCCTGTCGGCGGAGGGCCTTTTCGGCAGCTGCCCCCCTGGTCTTTGGAAGGCCCTCCCAAACGGCGTCCGATGGGCACCGACATTACTGACATTTCGGCACCAGGTTAAAACCTTTCTGTTCCGGAATATTTTTAACTGAAGTTTTTAAATTTTAATTGATAAGAGTCATGGATCTAGAAAAACAGATTCTAGACTGTTTTTGCAGATTGCTTTTGCTTTTTATTCTTGCTTTTGTAGAGTATCGATGTAACCGTATGAGTTTTTAGTGTGTTTGTTTCGACAGAATTGTTTTAATGGATGTTGGAAGCCGCCCGGAGACCCTTGCAGGGTGCGGGCGGCATACACGTCGAATAAATAAATAAATAAATATAATAAATAATACCACAAAAACTGGGAAAGCGGCATGCCGTGGGCTGCCAGAAACATCAGCCGTAGCTTTGGCCTTTAGAAGCCTTCAAACTGGACTGCCTTAGCGCGGCCCTCGGCTACACCCACAATGAGTCAAGATACACAAAAGATAAAACAAAGCTACAAACCATGGCCGTGTGGCACAAAACACATCGAAGTCACGACATCACACCCTCTTGCAAATGGTAAAAGTAGCTCAAAGCAACTTCAGTGACAACCTCAACGGAGTTCAGTTACAATTAGAATTGGAAGGTAACTTCCTTATGTCCCCGTGACAAAGAGGTTTCTCTCTGGATTTGCCTTTCTGCCTCCTTTTCATCTCCAAGCTAAAACCTTTCACCAAATGTGTTCGCCCAAGCCTTTGGGGGGGGACAGGATCCCACCCAGATTGTGGAACGGAAAGCCTACAGCGGTAGAATTATTTTTCACAAATTCAGTTTTGTATCTTGGAAACTAAACCCTGAACTAGCTAATCAGTCTATAAGACAAGGGACTGGGTTTTAGCAAACGTCACCATGTGGGTCATGCAAAATAAAATACAAGTGCAAAAATAGCTGATACCTTTTGTTGTTGTTGTTTAGTCATTAAGTCGTGTCCGACTCTTCGTGACCCCATGGACCAGAGAGCACGCCAGGCCCTCCTGTCTTCCACGGCCTCCCAGAGTTTGGTACCAAATTCATGTTGGTCGCTTCGATGACCCTGTCCATCCATCTCATCCTCTGTCCTCCCCTTCTCCTCTTGCCCTCACCCTTTCCCAGCATCAGGGTCTCTCCCCTTATAGACCACTAAAAAATTAGCACAAAAAAACTCATGTGGTTATTTTTTTTAGTGGTCTATAAAGGTCTTGCCTATTTTCACTGTCCCTAACCACGAATCCGTATTTCTGGTTCATTCTCAAGATCGTGCGCAGTCCGGCGAGACCCACCCTGAAATCTTTTCTACCTAACACACAAGCACAATACCTTGAAAAACCCAGCGTCTTCTTCGTGCCGGAACTCCTGCTTCCCGGCGTGTTTCCACGGGATACGGAACATCGTCTTGGCCGGAGGGTCCTCCCAGACGACGCCCGGGAACTTCCCGCTTTCCACCTGCTCAATGGTCCAGTCTCGCAGCTTCCGAGTTATCCTCACGCCTCGCTTTGGGGTCGCCATCTGCAGCCAGAAGCGAAGGAAAGGGTTGAGAGGGTGGGGAAAGTGATCCACAGACGCTAAAGAGTCCCACGCCACGTTATCAGAATGTCGATTTGAATTTCCCAGAACAGCGTAACAAGAGCGTGGTGGATCAACCAAAGGATCGTATGTTCTGGATTGCCCGCCTCCAGTGGCTTCTCGGTTGCCTCCGAGAAAGCCACCGGCCAGATGTGAGCACAACCGCACCCTCTCCATCATGCGCTTCTTCAGCTGAGGTAGAGCAACTGACTCATAGCCACAGGGGGCTGAGCCGCCATGAATGAATCCGATCCGATTTTAAAGCCACCCAAGTTCACATCTTACAGGGCACCTTGTGGCATAGAGTTCCACAGTTCAACCTGACACAATGACACTTCCTTTTTTCAAAATAACAGGCATTTGGGAAGCATTTAAGAGAGGACCAAGCATCAAGGAAGGGGTTTGACCCACACCAATGACACAAAGGATCTCCCCAAGCCACTACCCCAAAATCTCAAAGACTGGCACTCGTGATTTATAATTTTTGTGCTGGCCTTATAAAGGTACTGCTACAATATGGTAATTTGAGGGTGGGCTTTGATTCTGGTCCATGTGGCCAGTCGCCTCCATTTTTTGCTCAGCTTTAGAGAGCCTTATTGCTAAAATAATTCAAATGCAAAGGTACAGGAAAACATTATTGACTCCTATGATGGTTTTATCCAGCTCCCTGGCTCGCATTTCCTGATTTTACAAGCAGGCAGCCCCAAGCTATGTTAAAGATTGCATCTCCCATTATGAGCCTGCTCGGGTGTTAAGATCATCAGGAGAGGCCTTTCTCTCGGTCCCATCATCCTCACAGGTGTGTTTGGTGGGGACACAGAGCAGGGCCTTCTCTGTGGCTGCTCCTTTAGACTCTGGAACTCCCTGCCACTGGAGGCCAGCCTGGCCACATCTTTACTGTCCTTCCGCAAGCAGGTAAAGACCTTTCTCTTCAGGCAGGCTTTGGTTTTTCATGGATTAGCATACCTTGTTGCTTCAACTGAGTTTTGGTGATGCTATTTATTTTTTTAGTATGGCACTCGTTTGATCCTTTCTAGTATTTGTGTACTCAGTATTGTTAGCTTCCAAATGAGCTTTTAATGATGCAAGCTGCCTTTTAAGGAGGGAAGTGGGGGGAAAATATTTTAAATAAGTCAATGCAAAACTTCATTGATATTTTAAGTGCGACGGCCCAGAAAAAACTCCCTAGAAAACAACAGCAGCTCCTCTCTCACCAATGAGATATTAGAAAGAGGACGGATCGCCTGGGCCCAAGGAAAGGCAACTTTAAATCAACAGCCTTTGAGATTAATTTAATTAGATAAAATAACTCCCTGCAGTGTTTTAGCAAAGAACCGGGCAAGCAAAATGCAAAGGATGCTCGGTTCCATGCCTGCCGATCCTTTGAGAGCTGTAGGAAACTCCCTTATCTGGTTCCTGGCACCCACCCATAGAGTCACGCCTGGTGAGCATAGGAGCGAAGGCTTTTTCGGAGCCCGCTGGCAAACTACGGAACTCACCGCCCAAGATGGCCAACTCCCTGGTGTTCCTTCTGCGCTTCCGCCAGCACCCAAAGCCCCGCGTTGCAAACCTCTAAGGACAGGGGCTACAAAAGATGGGCCAGGCACTCATCTACCCCCCTCATTTTTGCAATTATTATTTGTAACAGAGAGAGTTTTTAAAAAGGGTTTTTAATCGCACCCTGTTTCCCTACAACAACTGATCCCGTTTTAAGAGTTCACTGCTTTATTTGCAACCGTCAGTCAAATTTTTTTAAAAAGCAGTCCCGAGAAATAAAAAGAATGCTGCGGCTAATATCTTTACTTCCTTCAACAATTTGGAAAGTCACCTTTCGGTAGCAAAGTCCGGACTGGGAATGATGCAAGCCTAAAGTCAAATAAATAAATAAATAAAATTCCTGGTGGCTTGTTATGAGACAGACCAATTAATTCATTGGGACGATGATTAAGTACTCTGATTAAAGCCTCTTGTCTCTTACCTGCACAGGTAAAATAACTGATTAATTGCCCTTTTCATTCATTTGTTTAAATGCCACCACAGCACAAACCAAAAGACAACTAAGGTAGCTCTTATATTGCACTTATATGTCACTAGCTGGAAGAATCATGCTGGAGAATACTGCATCTCAGTGAGATGTGCAAATCGGAAGCAGATTCTTACCAAACGTAGCATTGCGTGATGGATGCGAGCATGAAAAAGGCCAGGAACTACAAACAAACACACAAACTTTTCTACGTATTAGGTGTAGCATTGCATGATGGATGTGAGCATGAAAAAGGGATGGAAAGGCCAGGAGCTACACACAAACACACAAACTTTTCTACGTATTAGGTGTCACCACCTTTCAAACAAGGAAGTTTATATTAAGGAGGAAATTTAAAAGAAAAAACCCAAAACAACATTTTCTTTGGGAGAAAAAGGACAAATGTCGAATTAATAATAAACAGTGAGCAAAGCAGTCTATGGGGAAATCAACAGAAGGGATGGTGGTGGTGGGATTAATGAAATCAGAGGAGAAGACCAGAAATTAAATAGCCATTAAAGAAAACAAGGTTAAAGGTCAACATATTTTAACAATCATGCCTAAGTCCCTGAATGCCCTTTTTAAAGTTAAGTTCATTTTAAACATTTAACATTTAGAAAATTTTGTATTGTTCAATGTGTTTTCATCCGTTTTATAGTGTGCTTTTTTAATGTACAACTTACTTTTAAAAAAAAATCTATTCTTTTTTTAATACTGTACTGGGAGCTGCCTTGAATCCCATGATCAGGAGAATTTCTCTGTCTATAAATCAGACAGACAAATCAATACCTAAATCAAATAAGGCACAGATGTACAGTAAAACCAGGGGAGGGAGACCATGGGTGAGAGTCAGGAAAAGAGGGAGGGAGAAAGAAAGAAAGAAAGAAAGAAAGAAAGAAAGAAAGAAAGAAAGAAAGAAAGAAAGAAAGAAAGAAAGAAAGAAAGAAAGAAAGAAAGAAAGAATATTAGAGAGAAAAAATGTGAAAGAAAGTGTAAGAAACGAAGAGTAGCTCAACAATGGGTCTTGTAGCATATTTTAGAGATCTACTAAAGATATTCTGCCTGCCTGCCTTCGGATGTTTGTTATTGCACCGCAGATAGTAAAAACATAATATAAAATGATTTTTCTGCTGTATAGCTAGCAAGAAATAAGTTAATACTGTAACTGACTTTTTAGATCCCTATATAGAGGGACTGCATGGGAGTCCCTTTCCAAAGGGCAGCATCTGCAGCACCTATTCAAAAAGAAAGAAAGAAAGAAGTCGAGGAACCCGGTGGCACTCAGAAGACGAAGCTATTGGAGCCTCCGTGGGCTGCACTCCACACCACCCGAGGCTCGAAACAGTCCTCCAGAACCGTCTGCTCCGGAATAAAAGGTCTGATTGTCAAGTCCATCTTCGCAGTCTGGGTTTCTGCATTTGATCAAGTGGGCTGCCGTTCCGAATGCGGACGACATGGTGTTGCATTTCGGGGTCTCACCGGACTCCTCGGCGCGGTTGAAAGAAAGAGAGAGGAAACGCCACGGGAATCCGTCAACAGGCGTGGGTCTGGATCGGAGCTCAGGGCGGTCCTTGTTGGGGGACTACAATTCCGACATTCCCCCTCTCCCCAGGCTGTGGAGGAATTTGGGGAGTTGTAGTCCCCCTCCCCCCAAAAAGTAATTTCCCCCCCTTAGTTCTGCCCTGGATCTCTAGGATAAGAGGAGGAGGAAAAGGAGGGGAGGGGGGGAAGGAAAAGATATGGCTAGAGAAATCAAAAAGTTGGAAAGCAGGAAGGGAACGGAATTAATTTAATTAATAAATAGAAATAAAAATAAATGCAAAGAGCAGGCAAAGGCGCACCTTTTCCCGACTTTGCTGGCCGCCTTCCTCCCTCTGCAGCGGTCCGGCTCCGGGGCTGCCTCGGTGCAGGATCGCACCCCCGGGTCCCAGCCGGCTCGCGCCGCCCCGATCAGCTGGGCTGCCCCCCGCCCCCTCCCTTTTCTTCCCTCCTCCGAGCCTTTTCCTCGAAGTCACGTGGCGCCGAGCGCTTCCCCGCCCTTGACCGCCAGGGGGCGGCAGAGAGACGCTGTGTGGATGTTTTTATGTACAGTATTTTATTTAATTTATTTTATTTCACAGTATTTGTTTCTTTCGACTCCTACACCGCCCCCTCTGGCTACCCAAGCCACTCTGGGAAGGTTTACAACACAATAAAACGAGGGACATTAAAAATATCTATATTATTGAAGCAAAACCCAAATAAATATACAGTACTGTACTACCAACCATCTCACATGAGGTAAAATATAGAGTGACTCAGGGTTTGTGCCCAGCTTTAAGCGGTTGTGTTTCATACATGCCGTTATGTATGACCTAGGTTTGGTGTTTAGTTCTTTTGAAGTCTTTTTAAAAAAACAACAACATTCGCACACGAGACAGAAAGCAAGGTTGGAAGAGAATCGTCTGAGAACTGCAGAAGCTGGAAGGGGCCCTGAGGATCATCAAGTCTAGCCCGTCAAGGAGGTCTGGGGGGCGGGATTCGAACTCCCAACCTCTTGTCAAGGAGGTCTGGGGGGGCGGGATTCGAATTCCCAACCTCTGGCTCTGATGCCTTAAGCGCTGAGCTAGGTTACACAGTGTGAGAGCCAATGCCTTAAGTGCTGAGCTAGGTTACACAGTGTGAGAGCCAGTGATGCCTTTTATGGGATCTTTTTAAAAAAAATCCATCCTCTGCAAGCTTTCGGGACGACGTTTCCACTTCTTCAGGCTTAGCGCCACCCCTTTCTGGACAGGGCAGCCAAAAGGGACGCACGGGTCCCAGATTTGGTGGTACGTTTGTGAGGGTTGACGTCAGTTTGAAGCCTCTTCACAGACTCGTCTCAAATTTTTACACCCCCCTTGCAAGTTTTTTTTGGGGGGGCAGATAGTAATAAAAAATATCACCCACTCTTGCCTTGGGCAATCTTTGGGAACCACACAGCTTTTCCTGGTTCCCTTAAAATAACAAGAGATTGCAAAATACTCCGGGTAGCTTTGGATTTTTATTTTTTATTTTGTTTTGGAAAGAGGTCTCAAGACAGCAGGCTCTGATCCGTTCTCCTTCTCCACCACTGTTGCCCATACTTAATAAACCCCTGAGGGATTACACGAGCCCCCATTTTTTTCCCCAAGGGGAAGAGCACTTTGCACATGCCTGTGGGTGATGGGTTCCCAAGCCATTTCTGACCTCATGGCTACCACATGAATGAGGGAACCTCTAAAAGGCCCACGTCCTTAATAGTTCTGCTCAGGTCTTGCAAACTCAAGGCCAGAGTTTCCTTTAGGCACTCAGTCCCTCTCATGTTTGTTTTTCCTATTTTCCTACGGCTTCCGACTTTTTCCTAACATCACATTTTCCAAAAACACTGGTGGGCAGTTAGCTTACTGGTTGAGGCATCTGGCTGCAGAGCCAGAGGTTGGGAGTTTGATTCCCCCACTGTGTGTCTCCTTGACACGGCCTGGACTGGATGATCCCACGGGGTCCCTTCCAGCTCTGCAATTCTAAGATGATGATGATGATGACTACTACCAGACCACTACAATCTCACAAAGGGGCTGGCTTTCCAATTCTGTAGCAGGAGCAGAAAAGGCCTTCAAAGACATCATGCCTAAATTGATGTTCAAGCCACAGCTCGGGTATGCAAACAGTGGAAAAGTCAGCAGTGGCTCCCAGGCTTTGGAACACGCTCCCCCCCCCCAGAGATTTGTCTGGCCCCCTTGCTGGGCATTTTCAAAAACCAACTCAAGACCTGGTTATATAGACAGGCCTTCCCTCCAGACTTTACATAATTCTCTCTCTTTCTTTATCTGTTCTGTTCCGTGTTAATGTAGGAAACTGTTATTTTATACTACAGTGGTGCCTCGCTTAACGAGGATAATCCGTTCCAGCGAAATCACTGTAGAACGAAATCCTTGTTAAGCGAAATAAAAAAGCTCATTGAAACGCATTGAAAACCCTTCAATGCGTTCCAATGGGCTGAAAACTCACCGTCCAGCGCAGATCCTCCATAGGGACAGCCATTTTCGCTGCCTGTAAAGCGAGGAATCCATCCTAGAAAACAGCGGGGGGCTATTTTGTACACCCAGCGGCCATTTTGAAACCCGACGATCAGCTGTTTTGGTTTGCCGTAATGTGAAAATCGGTTCCCGAGGCAGGGAACCGATCAGCATGAAGCAGATTTTTCCCATTTAAAACATCATTTTGCAATCGCTTTTGCAATCACAAAAACCTAATCATTAAGCGATTTCCTCGTTAAGCGAGGCACCATTGTAATTCTTTTTATTACGTTTTTGTGAGCCACCCACAGTAGACTATGTCTAAATGGACGGCATATAAGCTCAATAAATGAATAAATAAAATAAACAAGAATCTGTATTTCCGGAGGTGAAACCTGCAACCCACGGCTTCGAGCCGAGCTCTCAAGATTACAAGCTCCATTTTGGAACCCGCTTTAAAGAAGAGAGCCTGAACTCAAGATCTGGCCATGATGATTTGGGGGATTTTTCTGTTTGTTCCTTTGGCAACCCTCTGCTCTGCCATGCCCAACCGTCAAGAGTCTGGAAAACTAGTGTCCATTTGTGAGATTTTAGGGGCATAATACAGACACTGCCCGTCCTTGTTTTTGAGTCATGTATAAAGACTAAACAGCTTCCCACCCCCCTTTTTTTTAAATTGCATTTTTTCCAGTGGGCAGGATCTTCTCATTAGACACTCAACATACAATGGGCTGTGTTTAGTCATTTTTGACTCCCGAGAGAGTTCAGGCTGCCAGGCTCAGCTGTGTGTGCGATGTTATGACTGATTTTTTTTTTGTTCCTCTTCTCTAACCACCACCCCTCTTTGGTTTAGAAACTGGAATGCCACCGCTTTGTAGCCAGCTGCCTTTTTTTTTCACGCTCAAGAAACACGTAGGTAACACAGCAAGACAGGGAAATGATTATGGTCCCAAGACGTAAGCTTTCAAGTCACACAGGAATCTTCTTTAGGAAGAGAAAGAGAGAGAGATCCAGAAAACAAACAGGTAAAACTGAATGCTGGCAGATACCGAAACATGACAGGCTCCTTTACAGAGACTGGAAAAGTTAAGTTTTTCCGGGTGCAAATCCTGGGTCTAGTGTTGGTAGATAAGAGTCCAAAACAAGAAATCTTTCTGTCGTTTTGATCCAAAGGAGACCAGCCTAGTGACTTTCCAGACTGGCCCACAGGGATGGCATGATTGTAATTCTCCAGGGATTTGGAGCACAGAAAAAGAGGTGTGTGTGTGTGTGCGGGGGGGAATCTCTTTCTGTGGAAATGCAGCCTACTCGTGCTAAAAACATGACAAGGGCAAAGAGAAACGGCATCTAGAAGCTACAATGGTGCCTTGTTTGACAAGGATAATTCGTTCCGTTGAAATCGCTGTTAAGTGAAATCCTCGTCAAGCGAAATGAAAAAGCCAATTGAAATGCATTGAAAACCGGTTCAATGTGTTCCAATGAGCTAAATACCTCAGTGTCCAGCAAAGGTGCCTGTAAAGTGAGGAATCCGTCCTAAAACACAGCGGGGAGCCATTTTGCACAGCAGGCAGCCATTTCAGAGCTGCCCATCAGCTGTTTTAAAATCGTCGTCTATCGAAAAATCGGTTTCCCGAAGCAGGGAACGGATCATCGTTAAGCGATTTTCCCTATCAAAACATCATTTTGCGATCGCAAAAACTTCATCGTCAAGCAGTTTTGTCATTTAACGAGGTAATCGTTAAGCGAGGCACCACTGTATACGGTTGTTCGGAACTGGGTTAGAGTGACTCTAATAGGCTTACATGAAATATTTAAAGAGTGGTTTTACCAGCGCCACACCCTCAGTGAGCTTCCTTGGCTGAGTAGGGATTCGAACCCAGGCCTTTTGAGTCCTAATCTGTAACTCTGCCCACTCGTATATCACACTGGTATCCCAGAAGCTAGATCAGCAGGGAGGAAAAAAGAAAAAAATGATTTGTTTGGTTTTTTTTTTAAAAAAAATCATGGAACAGTTTATTAATTTCCGAAGAGGTACGCAGGCTCAGAAATTAGGTGGAAAGGGGGAAGGAAATAAGGAGTCAGAAAAAGAGGGAATCGGAAACTGCAACAAGACATTTTCACCAAATTTAGCCACCAAATAATTCTCTCTCTGTTTTTGGTGAAAGTGGCTTCGTTTCCAATCCACCACGGAAAAAAACATCCCCCATAAAGATTCAGCTACAGTATTTAAACCCAACACTTCCTGGATGACAAAAATAAAATAAAATATTATCTTTCATTTTACCCATGACAGTCTCCTAAAACTGTCCATCTCCATAAGGAATTTGCATAGAAACGTGTAAAGACAAGAAGCTTGTGAAGACACCTTATCTTTGGGCACCTCGGATATAAAGCTATGTCTGAAATATTAACACAAGGCGGAAAAGACGATGAGAGAAGGGGAGGTTTCCGTGCAGCGCTCCATTCCGCCAAAATCCAGAACTTCGCTCCTAAACCCGCCTTATTTCTTCAGCTGGAAGGTCCGCTTGCATCCAGCTACTTCCGCCTGCGTGGAATATGCTGGGCTAGCGGTACTCCATCTTTCAGAATCTGTGGCAGGTGGAAGGAGTCCAAAACAGGACACGTTAGCCAAGAAGACGGAACGATTCAGCTTTTCTTATATCTGTCCCCCCCAAAAAAACTGAATATATATGGGGTTTTAGTACTCCTTGTATTTTCCATTTCTCAACGTGAAGTAAGCTGCCTCTTGATACTCATTGTTCTCAGCTTTAAATATTGTCTTTTAATGACCAAAAAAGCCCATCAGTTTTATACGCATTTCAAATACTGTTTTTTCATGACATAAACTAGTTTTACGCTCATTGCTCTCACCAACCAACCAACCAACCAACCAACCAACCAACCAACCAACCAACCAACCAACCA